TCCTGGCATGACTGAAATATATCGCAATTATGCTCGTCAATATATAATTTTTCGACCCTATTTAAGTAATCTTTTCCAATCAAAGACAAATGTCAGAATTTCCATAAACATTTCATGAGGTGGCCCATCTAATGTATTGGTAGTCGCTCTGCGACTGCCTGTGTAGCTCTTGGTCAAGCTGCAAGGCGCGAGGGAGCAAGTATGTCCTATAGCCGGACTTGCGACGGCACTCGGCAAACAATGGCTAGTTGAGTAGTATTATTTTTCGCACTGATTTTCAGTGCCCTTATAGATCCAAATGTTTGATGGAAAGCATGGAAGGTGTACACTTTTGCGTAGGAAAAATCATATATTTCTCTATGCCTTAAAGAAAATTCCATGTAAGGCTCGGAAAATTTTGCGATGAACGTCTAGTATGTTATATATTTCACGAAGAGCAGTAATGAATGGACAGGTTCGATGTTATATGAATAGATATTACACCGTCTTAAAACGTTTCCCAATTAAAACTTTTAAAGCCGAAAGGCATTCCTTTTTTAGTATAAACTTTGAAGAAAATTCAATGTGTTACCAAAATGACCATATGAATGAATATATTTCTGCCTGTTATCTGTAAGACGTTTGCATTTATATGGGTACCGAAAATCAGCGTGAAAATTTGTACTTGTTATGTTAGCGTTCTTCATTCGTATCACTAACGATTGCTTTCCATCCTCCCGCGGGGTCTCTAGATTAAGCTCCAATGCTCGGTGGGACAAATGAACTTCGAAAGCTGAGTGCGAATATCCATTCCAAGATATAAAATAATAAAAATTATCAAACGTCTTACAAATGCTAAAGGTTATCAAGTAGATGACCTTCATAGGATATAAAATATGATTTCGGAAGGTTAGCAAAAATACCAGAAATAAAGTATTCTCAGCCATGACAGACAGATTTAGTGCTGGCCATGTTAAGGTCGGAAATTGTGGCATAAACAGTTGACGTTAGTGAAAAGGGAAGCTAAGGAGAAAAATAGTATCATGCGGGCAATGAAAACAAGCCAGAACCTCAGCTGACCAGCAGTTGTATAGACGAGCATGTCGTGAGTTAATGACAAGATCGTAAATTCGCTTGTTTAGGGGCATTGATAGGGAGAAAACTTGGATAGATCGTTCACGACCAACATTTTTTCAATGATCGGCGGTTCCACCGGCAAAATGACCGTTTAAATCGGCGATTCAGTTAGAATAAGACAGGAAGCTTAGGTATGTGCCACAAAGAGAAGTCACAGTGATTAAGTAACTAAAAACTCTTGGACATCAGCTGACTTCAAAGGGACGAGTGTGTTTCGTTACGCGATCAGTGAGCCCCTCCCCCCTACCATTGATATTATACCCGATTGCAACCGACAAGACAACGAGTCCTAGATCAATATTTAGGCCTTGGACTTCTGATCAACAGGTCGCCGGATCGAGCCTCATTGATTGCAAAACCTGAGGTTGGAGTGACAGGTCAATGACGGTTAATAAGCCAGAAATGATCATTTCGGTCGCCTTTGTCTTCCTCGGTAATGACATCCCGATTCCAAAGAATGAACGACGGGCTTGTGTTGGAATCTTCCCATTCAGTTTGCGAGTGCCCCTGCTTTAAAGTTCGATCGCGCGCGTTGACGCCCAGAGGCATACACTGCTCGCCTTTGGTAGTTAACTTAGTACATACCAGCAGACCATTGGCCTTCCAGTGAGTCATCATGCAACAATCTTGGTCCTAGTGGTCTTGGTCTCCCTGAGTTTTCATTTTCTCCACCTCCAATTCGTGACAACCATTGGCAGCTTGTTCCGACTTTATGTAATACTTATAAATAAAAGAGAAGAGGTCTGGGCAACGGTATGGTTTACGGCCGGGGTTACTTACTTCGTGGAGTATTTTTGTTGAGCAAAAGGGCCAACCATCTAAGAACTAGATGGTATCACAAATTTCGATCCTCCATTTTGTCGCCACTTTAAGGCAGGCACTATTTTTTACCGTTTAATGATAATAGTAGATGCGTTTGATGTCCTTTACAGGCATTGCCTAAAAGGTATTGTCGTATTTTTACTCTGATGACTACCTTAATGCATCTTGACGACCCTTATGCAACAACCACCGCGAGGTCCTCTAATTTCTTTCCCTGAACATACAAATAAGCATCACCGAGTTATTTTCTTTTAGCACCATTGCTCCACGGAGTAAGTAACCCCGGCCACTAACCGTACCCTTATTTAGGTCTGCTATGAATTATTGTCAGGCTTACTAAGACATCACCTAGCACACGTATTGCCACTCAATAGGCGTAGTCAAAGAAGGTAAGATTGCGTTATGGAACAGCCTTCGTTACAAAGTAAATTTTCTTGCAGCAAATGCCAATAATGTTATGCAAAACAAATTGGCATAATTCGGTCTTCCCATACCATCAAACAATTAAAAAACAGACAGAGCAGAACAGCGCTCATACCCCAGACTAACCACCGCAGTAGTTATCCTATACTTTTGGCACTTAAAAGACCCAACGAGCCCTTCAACGGCATTCCCTGAGCGATTAGACTAGTTACGAAAGTAGACTAAAGATCCCCGAAGACCAATAGAGAATTGGTGTGATGGCAGACATACAAACGCTGCCCGTGACAGATCTTCGTAGCCAACAGTAACCAAGGATTTAGATGGTAGCAGAAAAGTAAGTTGTGTGTTGATTCGCTGAACAGACGGTAACGACTGAATTGGAATCCCCAATAGGTATTCCTCTGCTGCAAAATTTTACACTGCCAACTGATGCTTACGTGGTTAAGAGGTAAGACTTTTTATTTGGAAAAGATTAAGGTAGACAACAGAGGGAATGGTCTAACCCAAGAGACGAGGCTACCACCTTGAAAGACTGGTGTTGTCACCATGGGGCTGGACACCATAACTGATATCCTAAACGGTTATGCTCATACACGATCTAGGTGTCAAATGAAGCCCAGATGCCCGTTAGACTGAAGAGGGGAGATGCCCTAAAAATTCAAATTACAGGAGGTCGTAGAGCAAAAAGGAGTAAATTCTTCAATTAAGAATCCAAACACGTGCGTAAAACCTACACTGTAAAAATGACTATTTAAGCAGTATGAATTTTTCGCACTGATTTTCGATGCCCTTATAAATTTAAATGTTTCATAGAAAACGTTCAAAAATATCCGTTTTCCTACTCATTTGGTGAAAAATTACGCCTTCTTCGAATTTCATATTTGAAAGAAGGGCATGGTCCTGTTTTAAAAGTTTCCAATTACGGGATTTTCTAAGACCGCGCAATGTTTGTTTGTAAAGATAACAATATGACTTAAATCTACTGCAAAATTTCATGAACCCCAGCTGATGGTCCCTTAATAGCGCATATAAGTGTAGGATTTTCCGCAAACGGAAAATATGCGGCTCATAGGTTGGAAACCCGGAATGCAAATGTTACGGCAGGCCGAATCCAAAATCCTTCGGGAAACAAAAAATGTTTTAAAACCCAATTACGCCATTCTTTCAAATATAAAATTTGAAAAAGACGTAAATTTCTGCCAAATGAGTAGAAGATTGAATATTTTTGCGGGATTTTTCCATGAAACATATTTGAATGCTAGGGGGCGCTCACCGATCGTTCATACGGAACTAACTCGTTCCGTTGTGCCTTAAGGGCTCTCTCTCGAGCCCAACCAGCAGCCGCACAGCGGCGCATGATACATACGCAGAATGGCATTACCGACAAAGACAAGGGAGACTGGAATGGCCATTTCTGGCTTATTAGCCGTCGTCAGCCAGCCATACCCAAGCCCGAAGTGTGGAACACCCGAGCCTTGACTTGCGACCTGTTGGTCTAGAAGTCAACGCCTCTAATGTGAAAAACTCATACTGCTTAAGAAGCCATTTTTACAGATTGTGGTTTTTGCAGGCAGCCGGGAGTTCATTCAAAGTCCAGCACCCCAAGTAAGTAAATTATCCTGGAATTATGCTGCACCATGAGTAATATTACAACCCTACTTAAGTAGTCCTTTCCAGTCGAAGACGTATTTCAGAATTTCGGCCAACATTTATCGAGTCACCACGTCAATTAGAGTGCAGTTTCCGATGAAGAAGAAGCAAAGGGCTGGTGGGAACTATAAATTTTATTTGAGGAGGAACCATAGATAGAAAACTGTAGCTGTTCCATGGGCTAGCCACCGGCGGACAAGGCGGAAAATGCAACGCAGTGTCGCACAATGAGCGACTGCGAGGAGCGCACTGGAGTCACCACATATTCGTGTCTTCACCCTCCTGTTGGAAAACAGTAAGAAAGTTAAACAATTTCAAATTCATTTGGGGTTTTTCGACCTGCTTAGGTTTAACCACAAATACTACCCTTGCCATCACAGTCAGCCGCAAGTTTGGATTAAAGGTTTGGTGCCGTTGTCAAACGTAAGTAGTGACTCGTGACGCGCACTTTATCCCGCTCTCACCACCTACTGAGACACGCCCAACCACGTGATCACAATATTTTCTTCCTGCTTACTGAAGTAGTCACTCGAACCTGCGCTCTCATAGACAACTTTGCCCATCCGGCCATTCATAGGACTCCCTGCTCCGTGCTATTAGATGCACGCACATATGAATAAAAGCGCATATAGCTTTGCCCTCCCTCGGGCAGCTCTTGTCTTTGTTTGGCCGAACACGCCCGAGACAACAACTCAAGCTTCCGAGATGTAAAAAAACTTATGCTGGCGCCTGGCCTCCTCTGTGGGAAGGGGCGTAGTCAGAGTATAGCGGTTAAATTCCTCCTATGTTCCCTGCTCCAAATAGCAAGAGGAAGAAGAGAACCCTGTCCGCGATTTATGTCGCACAAAACGAGATAATTATTGTCAGTATACAGAAATACAAGGACAAGTTTACGGTACCTGGTTAAGTTTCTTTAGTTCCACCAACTCCAAAAGTGCTAATTCCAGGATATTCCGTGCAGTTCTTTTAGCCGCCGGAATCTTCTGGCTCAAGCCACAAATTTCGCCACAGTTTGAGATGTAGTATTCTAAGTCCTCTTCGGTGCCTATTAAAAATAATTAAAAATAGATAAGTCAGAAGGCACAATGGGGTTTACTGGACTGCTCCCTCACCAAGCACTCACATTTATTGGTTTCCTGAGCAAGTCGAGCCTTTTCCGTTGAAAATTGTTCGTCAAGATCGAATAGTTCCAGTGGCGGTGGGCCGAGTTCTCGAAAGTTCGGAGGAAATACCTGAAAAAAAATAGTCAGCTTGCCTATAAGAGGCCTTACAGCAGGTTGCAGTGGCGGTAGCGGAGTCTCAAATTCCGGCGTAATCAGGCTGAGAGGTTCATGTTTCACCCGCAGTTTCTCATAGGCACTGAAATTAGAATAACATGGTTACCTCACGCCAAACGCAAGAACTTGAGTGACGGCACCTAAATGCGTATTTTAGTTTCGTAAGCTAAATGCTTCTCGGACGATCCTACTCAGCCTATTTATATGGGAATACAAATAAAACTTCAGGCAATTTAGCCAATTTAGAAAGTTGTTGACTTACCTGAGGGCTTTAGGCACCAAAGAAGTATTCATGGAGAAGAGCGACTGGTCGAAAACGCTGGAGATATTCCTTGGGATTTCATCACTCTCTTGGAGACAGGCCTTTAGGTTGTTAGCTAGACTAGCTATATCAGGAATTTGTAGGTAGGTGTCGATCTCAGGGTCTTGTGCGTCAATAGCATTGAGTTTAAGATTATCAGACGTAAGGAAGGAAAGGAGAATGTCAAATATCTTTCTGTTGTCCTCTTTAGTAATGTAGGCATCCGTAAACATGGCCACACTCCCTGCAACAGCCAATTTTCCCGTTTGACCTTCGTTGGCCTACAGCAAGAACGCAAACAAAGGGAATAACACTGAAAATTCAATAGTTAGGAACGTTTTCGGCAACGTACCCAGATTCCTTAAAGAAGCGGACGACTCTGTTGAATAGTAAGTCTGATTCTATCCCCTATTGGAATTAAGATGTTCAGACCAATATGCATTAGGTGGGCTAACTCATGAAATCCCAGCACAAATTTCGAAATGCGTTTTCGTTTCGAAAAGATTAATTAAGTAGGGTTGTAAAATCAATCAGCACACGGCATAATTCTATAATAATTCAGTTAACCACGGACGCCGGCTTTCAAAGAAACTTCTTTTCGGCTGCATCTAGAAACCATACTCCGTAAGAAATGACTGCTTAAGTAGCATGCATTTGTTCCATGGATTATCGATGTCCCTAAAAATTCAATTATATTTCGTGGGAAACAGGCATAAACATATCCATTCTTTTGTTCATTCAGTAGACAATTACGTCTTCTTTCAATTCTACACTCGAAGGAAGTGTATAATTCGGTTTTAAAAAAAGTTCCTCGTTGTGAAATTTTTTAATACCGCGAAATGGCCATATCTCTGCATTTGCCAACGTGGCTTGTTTATTTTGTAATACGGCTCAAATCCACTGCTTAATTTTAAGAACCCCATATGGTCTCCTCTAAATACCGCAGAGAAATGCATGGTTTTCCGTACGCGGAAATAATACGGCTCGTAGTTTGGGAATCCTGAATACAAGTGTAACGGCAGGTCGGGTTCAAAATTATTCGGGAACTGGAAACGTTTGGTAAAACCAAATCGTACCCTTCTTTCGAGTTTAGAATTGAAAGAAGACGTAAGTTTCTACTGAATGTACAAAAGGATGAACACTTTTATGCATGTTTTCTATGAAATATAATTCAATCTTTAAGGGAATCGAAAATCAATGACAAAAATGCACGCTACATAAGTACTCATTTTTTACGGAGTATCGTTTTTGCATGCAGCCGGAAGGAAGATCGTTCGAAAGTCGGCATCCTGAGGTTACCGAAATGGTGTAGAATTATGTTGCAAGCCGACTAGTTTTACAACCCTACTCCAATAATCTTTTCGAAACGAAAACGCATTTCGGAATATTGGCTGACATTTCATGAGTTAGCCCACTTTCAGGCGTATCTGAAATTAACCAAGGATGACAGAAATAACTGTTTGCATTTTGCATAAATGGCGGCTGGCATATCGCTTACCTTGCTGCGTGTGCTCGGAAGTCACTTCGATCGTTAAACGATGTGGACAATTTGGTACTATGAATAAGTCGACTTTTATCTCATAAGATGTCACAAACTTTCTTTACTACCAGAACGCAACACTAATAGTCTTAGTGGAACTGGACATGGCACCAAGTTTTAAATGAAGAAGAATTCTGTCAAAGGTCAAAACTAGAAGATGAGAAAGTGGGAAGTAATCAGGATCTTTAGCCAGATGTAACAAGTGAACGGGAGAAGTTCATGCACCAGTCAAGCAAACAAGGTCGCGTAGTTAGAATGCGAGGGCGGAGTTTTTACTTCTCCCGTCACTCAAAATATGATTGACAGCCAAAACAGATTTACTCATCTGTTATAGTCGGTTGCAGAAAACAAAATGGTTCAGATCATTAAAAAAGCGACTGTAAGAGATTTCAGTCGCTGCATCAAGGAATGAGACCTTGTTGATAATTTTGAAGTAATTTTGCAAGATATTTCATCTACCTGATTTGTACATAAACCTGAGGCCGGTTCCGGATAAAGAGCCCCGACGCACTCAACCTTTGTTGAATTTACCAAAGACAGAGTTTGACCAAAGAAGCAAGACATTTCAGAAAGCACGTCATATGGCCGCACATGGGCTTAATCACAGTGATTACTCCATACTGGCTATTAAAGATCTATATTAAAGTATTCACAAAAGGAAATTATCTAACTTATACTTGGATAGAGCCTGAGGTTAGACGACCCAAACTTAGCCTCATTTTGTCAATTCGAAATCATGTTGTTCTAAAATGACATACAACACGATGGCTGTCAGTTCTACGAAATAACTTACTTTAGTCAGAACGTTCCCCTATGACTTATATTAGTTTGTTAAATAAAAGTTCCAGTTAAACTTCTGTGCTAAACCAAAAGCTATTTCTCAGATTTCAAAACGACCCAGATATACTGTCAGTGACCAATCTCATGAAATTTTAGCCGAAATTCTGAAGCACATTTTCGATTAGGATGGCAGCTTAAGTGGGATTTTACTTTGTTTTGTCGTGCATCATAATCTCAAAATACTTCCGACACAACAAAACGCTGGCATTTGAATGTATTTCTTTTCGGCCGATTGCAGAAGCCGCGCTCGCAAGGACTGACTACTTAATTAATACGTATATTTCTACTGATTTCAGGCACCCTTATAAATTCAAAAATATTTCCTGGAAGACGTGCACAAGAGTATTATTTCATGTGTGCATCTGGAAGCCACTAATGCCCTCTTTAAATTTCATACACGAGGAAAAATACACTTCTGTTGTAAAAAGCTTGTAATTATGAGATTTTCAGGATCGTGCAATGTCCATTAAGACAACGGCGTATCTATCCATTTATCAATGCCCTTTTTGAAGTTTACGACGTATTCTGCACTCATTGCAAAAATTTTGATAGTCCCATGTGGTACCTTCTTAAACGGTATAGAAGTATTTTCGACTTTCCCTATATGGAAAGAATACATCTTGTAGATTGTAAACCCTAGACAAAAATGTAACAACACATCGAGCTCAAAGTTATTTCGGGCTTTAAAAAATTTTAAAATCAGAAAGATATTCTTCCTTCAAGTGCAAAATAGGAAAAAGACGTCATTTACTTTCAAGTTTAGCGATTAGAGTAGAAAATTGGACTAAATTTACTTCAAAACAATGTAGAATGATGAAAGGGTGTTATTAAATCATTTTATGATGATACAATCACTCTTCTAGGGTAGAACTGAAGAGCAGGAATTGTGTGTCATCCGACTATGTCAAGACCAGATTAGAAAAACTTACTAATGCGGCCGAATGTAGAACCATCTACTGATGATACGCTTCTCAATACATGTGTTGTTTTATCAGTTAAAATGTTAAAATCCAGTAAACTATTACGTTAGTGATCCAGCAGCTCCAAGAGGTGTCCAGCTTACTGCTTAATCTCATTATTTTTAAAATAGACACTAAGCATCAGAGACTGAATGGCTGCATAATAATATTTGTGTGCTAAACTTTCGCCACATAACAAGCCCGAATTAAGCGATGGAAATTCAAAATAAGCCACGTGGACAAGGGACGTACCCAACCGGCATCATAAACGGCACAGACAGGTCTGTTGAGAGGAAAGGCGACGCTTCCAGTGGATAGGAGGGCGATTGCTGGTTTTGCTACATTCAGGGTCGCTCCAAATGCATAGACAAACTGCAGTGCCTGCTTGGGTGAGAACTCGTCAATACCAGGGAACAGAGACGACTTTCCGGTCGACTCAGCTATAGTCCTTAATGAACGCAGGTTGAAAGAAGCCGTAACCGACAGATATGGAGGAGAACTAAGGGCTTGTTGGCAGTCATGTTACTCAAACTACGTAGACGGCCCATTTGAAACCGTTGTATCTCTTTTATTAAAAGACGACAAAGGATCGAAACTTCCCTAGTTGTTTGAGAAATATTGCATTCATTAAAAGAAGTGCGTAATTAACTGGTAAAAAAGATAAGACTTCATGTGCAACTAAGTGTGAATTTTTATGGAAACATGAGTGCATATTCAGTGCAATGAGGCATTACGGTTGATCTTACTTTAAATGAGTTGGAAAGTTGCATCTAAATGTGCGTTTTCCCATGTCATATGTTGTAGTCACCGGAATATAAAATGTGACTAATCATTCTCTGCAAAACTTACAATACATTTATAGAAAGAATAAGTAACCATAAGATATTTTTTTAATGCTGACGATGGAGTGTTTATGGAGATCAGCGAGGTTTAATTAACTTAGGAACCCAAGTCTAGAAACACAGGAATAAGGACGAGTTACTGTAGGTAGACACTGCAGTATTAATGACGTATTAGTAAGTTTGACAAAGAAATCGTATGTAATGTTTCGACGGTTATTCCATTTTGGTAATGCGTCCTAACGAGAAACATTACCACCGACAACTCGAGATTTATCCTCTAAGTTGGATAGGACAAACATAGCCCGTAATCCGATCAGTGAGGGCTCCGCAACTATAGTTTACACACCCTATCAACAAAGTACGGGACAATCAGCCCGTGATTCAATGACAGAACTTTGGACTTCATAACACTGTATGACCAACGAACCCAGACCCAATACTCAGATCGCGCAAAACCTTTGGTTCGGTACGGCTAGCTGACGACGGACAATAAGGAAAAGCCCTCTCAATCTCTCTTGTCTTTGTCGGAACTCCTTTTGCTCTACAGGAAATATACATGCGTACATATATAAATATGCTTAGTCCATCACCTAGCAAATAAGACGAATAAGAAAAGACGGCATGTTACTGAACCAATTGTATTCGCACTTAAGTATCGGAAACTTCCTCGTTTCGAATATCAGAGTAGTGTAGTTACTGTTCCTGCTGGCATTTATTTGTCTAACCTTTCCGCCCTCTTCGTATTACAGTCATTGCCATGCGCACGAACTTTCACCTGCCCGTTTGCCGCTGACTAACTTAAGCCTCTTCGAGGTTGACCGCTGACAGGCCCGCTTGACCTCTGTCTCCTGTGCAGTCGGCGTAGTTGTAACCAAGTTAGCGTGTCTACTGACATTCCCACGTCAGTCGGCGTCGTTTTTGTTCGCGCGTTTTTTTCAGTATCGCGGGCGAGTAAATGAGGCAGTGTTCAACTTTAGCCACCTGACCTCCCGCCGTCACATTCCCTCTTCTCCGATAGTATCAACCCTCGGCTACGGTGTTCACCTGCTTAGTTGGCTCCTTCCTAACTGATTCTAGCCTTGGGCGTATCGCCTGGTAGGCTGAATGTATGTGTATAGTTTGTTTGAGTGTGCATCGAGCACGACGATAACATGTGGAGGCGGCAGACATGAGTAAATTAAGACCGGCAGAAATAACTAATGGACTAGCCTGCTAATGGAGGCCAGGCAAATCCCAAAACATCAGTACGGACAACAGTCGCTCCACTAACCCGGCCTCTATTCTCCTTCGTCTTTCGTGGGAGAGGATGAGCGTGATAAGATATCTGAACCTCGAATTTTTATGCATAAGTGTATATGGAAGTAACATTCTAATTTATCATAAGGGCAAGTGGGGGTAAGTTTAAGCGTTTTAAATTGAGGATGTCACGATATAGAAAATTTTGCTCCTTTGAAAATGAAGTCGAATCACAAACCTATTGAGTATTCCATTTGGAATAAGTGCCTCTTTTGGATGGAAGTATTTGTAGAATGAGCATCGGACAACGGCATCTTAAGATATTATCAAATACAATAGATTGCATACCGTTATTTACAAGAATGCCGTACTGTTCCAATAAGTAATTAATGTTCGTCGCGTATTTGCTTTCACCATTTTCCCCGAGAAGAACCAGCACTGATCCACCAGAGGAGATGAATTTATTGATCGCTTCAAACTGGAAATACCTCTTATTAATACCCTACCTCTTTAGCACTGAACTTTTCAGTAGGACCTGCTATAATGAACACGCTCGCAGCTTGTAAAGTGGCCGAATTTATTTCAGCGGAATTTCTTCAGCAACCGGAAGAATAAGATAGCACGCTTCTTACGTCACAATTTTCCAAGAACTCCTCAGTATTTTATGTATTTCTTTAAAGTGATTTTGAAAGGTGGTAGCCTCTTTTTTTGACTGATCGAAAACAATTGTTCTACTTCCCGCCGCACATTGGTTGGTCATGGCTGGGTTGCGCATTTTGTGCGGTTGCGGCTGTTGCTATAAATAATTAAAAATATAAACAAAATCATTCAGTTCCCAGTTGTTCATGAGACTATCCCGAAACTCACAGCCTTCAAAATAGCTTTTGTGCAAGCACCTTTATGTTTGTCTATATGAATGCAATTTCTGCCGCAAATTTAATTGGATAGCATTGTGGGAATGTTTCTAGTTGTAAAAGTGCCGCAGAAGCCTGCGAATTTAGAGGTGAGATCCAGGCATTCCGATCGTAAAGTGGGAGATCGAGTCATAGGCTTGAAAGTTACAATCTAAATTCTGTTTGCTGCAATAAATCTCTTTAGAAACTGAAGCCAGTATAGGACGAGGACCAAAATGGCAGCAGAGCCTGCTTTACAAAATAAGGCTGTGGAAACTGGAGATTTGAATACAGTCAAACAGTGCAGTATTGGCCGCTGAAAGGACGCCAAGGTAGAATAATAAAGTGCTAAAAATGCTACAATTGTGCGCTTGTTCAGGGTTTGACCGAGTCGGATGCTGCTACTTATGAGGGAAGGATTTCCGCTGTTGATAATATGTGCTGACGATTGCTGATCAGTATCCTCTCCACGAATAGAAAAGCAACCGCTTATTCAACCTCAAGGATTAAAGAAAGATTAACAAACAATGAGAAACTGTGCGACCGAGGTCTATTAGGATTTCCTTGTTAAGCAAGACAGGGGTTAATTTATTTCTTTCCGTAAAAACTAGCTTTTGAATGCTACTTAAGGAGGGTTGTTTTTCGGAAGGACTATTCTCCAGGGGAAAATCTGAGACGCTGCGACTTAGTGACGTAAAGGAAAAGAACCCTTACAAATGGAAAGAGCAGCCTGTCTCCCCTCAGAGAATGTGTAACGCAGAAAAACACGATGTTGCCATGGGACCGACCGATGCTAATTATAGCAGCGGCAACATCGAAATGGAAAAATCAAGACAAATTTAAGTAAACGCTACCAAATATCCCAAACAAAAATTCTTATATATTGACATCCAGAGTCTGTTTGCGAAGTCCGACGAACTTCTTATATGGGCGTAGAATATGTCTTCAAATTTTATATCAACGAAGTAAACGTGGCTACCACAGACTATCAGCGATTGGAAGTGTGGTCCTGCGAATATCTCCTGTCGTACACGTGGAATAAAGGCATATTTTTTACGTCAAAAAAATCGAAACCACGTCACTGACACTTGCGTTCGTCCTTTGAACGAACTGTCACTCCGACTAGCAGAAGCGCATCAAGATCTCCACACCTGGATTATGAACACTCCAAGGCCTTCCAAAAACCGTTGTAGGGGGGCTGGCGCTGCAACCTCAGTGATCCACACCATCAAGCGAACGTTTACGGTTTTCGAAGAAAACTGAGTTTTCAAAATTATTCGGTCCGTCTTTAAGACCGAATAAATAGTTTGATCTAGTAGCCCTAAGGGTACTGCCATAGCAGGTAAAAAATAAATTTCCAAATGAATTTTAAAACAAGAGCGAAACAATAGCCACAAGTCTGCAAGAAACGCCATGGGAGTGCTGCATACAATCAAAAGGACGTTCGTAACCTTTGACGAAGACCGTTTTGGGAGAGTTTACGGCACTTTTGTTTGCTCTCACTTAGAATATGGCTTACAATCATGGCGGTCATGGCTAGTAAAGGACCAAGCATGCCTCGAACGGGTACAACGGCGTGCAGCAAAGCTGGTAAAAGGTCTAAGAAACCAATCATACACAGACAGACTGAATTACCTTAATTTATTCTCTCTGTGTTGCAGGCAGCAAAGAGGTGATCGGCAGCTTAATCTGTCTGCACTTGACCACTGCAATGACTTTATGCTAAAGTTTGGCTCTTTGTTGACAATCCTTGGACATTTATTCGACGGGAACATCTCCGATATTCCCTCTGAAGAATCTAGGCGTTCGACTCACTTGTTCACCTGATCGCCAGTGAATCTAGTGATAGACAGAAGCGTTCTTACAACTCTCTGCTAAAAAATGTTCCTAGATCTGCTCGGCCAATTGATGTTGCGACCAGTTTCCTGTATTCATGTGGTTTCAACTATAAAATAGCGGATGCCAAACGCTTGTCCTCCCGTAGTACAAATCCACCCATCTTAGTCAAATTGTTTTCATCAATCGAAATTGACACAATCTTTACTCATCGAGAGCGTGTCACTGCGTACCTAGAGAAGGCAAAATTTTTCCTTTGTCATGATCTTACTCCTATGGAGCGTAGAATGGGGTCTCTATTCTCACGTAAGCCCACTGCTTTTCAGTCTAATGCTCCCCAACTCGGTCATAATACAAGTGGCCGTAAGGATTCAGCTTCTCCTACTCCTGCGACATCTGACTCCCTCCTTCCTCTTTCTCCTACACCTTCATCTCACTCAAGCCACTTGACGCATTTACCTGCCCCTAAAGTTGCAGCAGCAGCAGCAGCAGCCCCATTTGTCGTTTCGTATCCTCCGGATAGTCCCGCTGAGACACATGAAAATCCGTCTACATCAGCTAGACCGATAACTTCTATTGTCCAACTGGGTGCTGTAAGGTCTAAAGCTAAGTCACCAGTGGCTTGGCGTTAGAACGGTGAGACTCGAAAATTGAATCAGACTCCGACCCAAAAGATAGGTAGTACAGTTCCGTTTAGGGGTACGACGCCTTCTCTTAGATCTAACAAGTCTGTTCAGCCCAGCACGTCTACAAACCCCGCAGCTCCAATTATATCCTCGAATAATTCTCTGTCCTGCGTACCGGTTACTTATCAAAGCCCTACTATATATCCAGCAAATAATTCATACATGAATTGCCCTAAATCATTTATGCCCCAACCTAGTTCAGGCTTCCCACCACTTAAGGCCAATTGCTCTCAGGTACGTCAACCTATCTCCTTTGACTTCCAATCTAGACCTGGTTTCCCACCATTTCATTCTTTTAGTGGCCTACCCTCACCCATTAGCCCCTACTTTCCTTATAGCCTCCCTCCTCCTCCTCCCCTTCCTCCATTATTTAACTACCAACAAGTCTATCCATGTTCTAACTCCCCTAGCATTCCAATGTTTGAAAACTATGTCCCCACCCGCTTTAGGTCTCATACTCAGCCTTCTCTTGCTGTCTCCCCGTACGTCAATAACTCTAAATTAACTGGTACTTATTCTCCAAGTGTCATTAATTCGCAGCTTACATATCCGCCTCCAATTTTTTTAAAATACTGTCGAAAATAGCATTGCCGTTCGAAACACATTAGATATTATATTATTGAATGCCAGGTCTGTTATAAACAAGATGGCCCAAATCAGAGCCATTGCTCTGGAAATGACGCCTGATATTATATGTGTAACAGAATCTTGGACACATTCTCTGATTCCTGACTCTGCCCTTCTCAAAGATGACTTCGATTTTTACCGCCAAGACCGCACGACTAGGCGTGGGGGTGGTTGTCTTCTTTATCTTAAATCCTACCTAAAGCACTCTCCCTATTACTTGGATGTTTCCTCATTCACGGGAAACTCCTGCTTTGCATCTGTTATTCTCTCGCCGCAAAGAAAGGCAATTATTGGCTGTATTTACAATCCCCCAAATTCTTTAGCCAGTGATGATTCACAACTCTTTGAAATCTTTAAATTAATTTCGGAAGCTGCTTTCGATGTTAAAATAATCACTGGGGATTTTAACCTTCCTGAAATTGACTGGGTTTCCAATAGCTGCCCACCCAGATTCCAGTCCTTTCAGGATATTATCAATTTTTCTAATTGGTCCCAACTGGTGCGCTCTCCAACAAGAGATAATCACATTTTAGATCTAATCTTTACCAATGACATTGCTCCTCTTTCTGTTGCTTTAAAAAAGGACCTCTTTGACAGTGACCACGTATTAATTCATTGTTGCCTACCGCTTGCCTTTTCAAAAAAGACAAGCGCTGTTCAGACTTTCATGAACTACGACTGCGTAGATAGCGACTTAATAAATAACTATATGAGATCCTTGGATTGGTGTGGCTTCCTCACTTGTAGCGATGTAACCATTCTTCGTGATGTCATGTCCAATGTTTCCAAGGACATTCTAGAGTTTGTGCCGCGTAGATATCTCAAGCCTAATTCTTCAGATTCTCTTGTTCCTCATTTTCTTCAGAACAGACTAAAAAAGTTGAGGCGACAACTGCGTGACCCATCCACTAGTTCCTTATCTGTTCATCTTAGAATCACAGAGATATTTGAGATGGCCTCAAGGATGCGCCAAGCGCGCGACAGGCAAAGAGAATCAATTGCTCTCAGTGGTTCGAACCCTGGCAAATCCGTCGCTAACATCTTCCGTCATCGGTCCTCCTCTAAGCGGGGTCATGAACTTCCACCCATGCTAAATGATAACAAAGTCTTCCTCACCGATGACACTGACAAGGCGGAGTTGTTTAGTGCTTTCTT